AAAATTAAAAAAATATATATAAAAAATTCTCAGTTCAACCAGGTTAAGTTTTAAAAATGAACATTTTATATCAATGTTTGAAAGTGTTAGACCATTTCATAAAGTCATGAACATTTTTTGTTTTATTGTTTTTATAATTTTAATCTTTTAAAATGTTGTAATAAATAGTTCATAAAAATTAAAACGAACCAATTTTGTTTATGGAAATTTTAACTGGTGTAGCGATTATTATATTTTCAAACTTCGATTTTTTATTGAGAATTTTATAATATATTATTTCTTCTTTTAAAACATATACTTGCATTTCCGCGAATGATTAATATAATATTGAATCAAAGAGTATTTGATTATTACTGTAGTAAATGTTAAAGATAATTATTTTTATTTGCTGTCTGGCAACTTTCTATTACAGCTAATATACGTATTTTTTTTTTACTTTGTAATTTATTTTACAATACGACATTTCGACACTTTATTAACATAGATTTTCCCAGAAAAGAATCGATATAATTATTTATCCAGGAACTAAGTTTAATCAAAAATTATATTACACATTCATTTCAATAACAACAAAAAACGACAAGTAAGAAAAGTAAACTATTTCCGTTTAATGGAATGAACAGAAATTGCATCTAACACTAACCAAATCATTTAGTATTTCGTTATCACTAAACTCTTCGTGTCAAGGATCCTATTGTTAGAAAACACAGATTAATCCTGTGAACTATTAATCAGTACAGTCTAGGAGCAAGGAAGAATAAAACTCAAATTAATATAACCAAAACACTTCATGTACATGTTATTTGAAGAATTTCTTGTTTGTTTGTTTGTAATTAAGCACAAAGCTACATAATGTGCTATTTGTGCTCTGCCAACCACGGGTACCGAATCCCGGATTCAAGCGTTGTAAGTCCGCAGACATACCGCTGTACCACTGGGGGGGGGGCGAAGAATTTCTTTGACAATAACTCTAGATTGTGCGCGAGCTTCAAAGAAATCTTACAGATGTGCAACAAAATTATGTAAAGTTAAGCGCACTACTAAAGATAAAACATGATAACCATACACATTTATTTTAAGGAATGAATGATGATTAACTCAGAAAGTTGCCTTAAAATAAATAAAAATAGATTAACGAAGTATTCAGCATTTTTTCGCTCTTTAAGAACGAATTGCGTAAAAAAATCAGTTAAGAAAAAAAAGAGCGATACAGGAGAACTATGATTATTCATGATGTTAGAAATACACGTAGGTTCAAGACGTCTTGTTAGAAACGAATAAAAACCCTATAACCCGAGCGCTTTCGAAAGGTGAACCTTTCTTCTTTAGGGGATTATGTATACAAAAAACAACATCGTCTAAAATCACCTTAACTTTAAAATACGTATATAACTATAAGTCCATGCTTTAGCACTCGAAACGAAAATAAAAAAATAAAGTTTGCCAAAGCAAAATGCTTTTGTGATTGATATAGAATCATTCATTTAAGAAAATTTATTAAAAACAACTAACTAGCTTGCACAGGCTACACTACTTTGAATGAAAGGAAAGTACATGAAACAGAGATATGTTTCGTGTAATATATAATGCATATGAATTTGAGAAGATCTGAAGTTTACTTATATTATGATAGTAATACCACAATATAAGAAAGTTAGTAAAAAATATATATATAACAGCATATTATGTTTTCAGTATAATACAGTTAAAAGCTTATTTTGATCAGTCTAACTAGAACATAGTTATTAGTATGATCTTGATTAAAGATTATAGCTCATGCGCAGTTTCATGTCTCTTATTCTATCTTGAATACTGTTCGGTAAACATTGTCAACTGCTACCTACATTGTTCGAAACAGATCATCAAATCAACTTTGTACGAGAAATTTGAAATAAGGAATGTAGTGAATACCTTTTTTCAGTATACGTCATTGCTTCTTTGAATACACTCAAAAGTGTATCCATCACTAACACCCCCACTACCACCTCGTGGACCAAGCCAGGTCTTAGTGTTAGTGTGTTAGATTGCGAACCTAAGAGTCCATGGTTTGCGTCCCGTTGGGCACTATTCACTTTGGGTGACTCATAACGTAACGGTTAAATCCTTCTCTTCGATTATCATAGCCATGCGTTGGCGATTGACTCTGTTGATTAGGTGAATTCCATCTAATCTATCAGTTCAAAATTGGGGACAATTAGGGCAGATAGATATCCCTTGTGCTGCTTTGCGCGAATATCCGAAGCAAACAAACTAACAAACGCTACTACTATTATACCTATGCACAATATGCATATTTTCAATTTAAACTTTATAAAATATTGACTGTGTTAAAATTTACATTATCGTTAATGAAAAAGGTAAACACTAGGTTAATTTGTAATAAGTTTAAAATTACTTCATCATAAGACTTATAATATTTTCACGCTCATCATATTCGAAAAACAAGAGTTTGAATTATACAACATATGCTGTATGGCGATACAGAAGAGGCCTATCGTTCAATGCTTGAGCTCATCAGGCCATATGGGTTGCAATTAATAAAGTCAATGTTAAACTGCTGTTAGAACAGTCGTTTATGACACATCAAGTCTTATGAGATATAACGCCTAAGTTGGCAGATTACAATTTAAAACCTGAAAGGATTATATAATTTAAGACTTGATGATTATTAAAAATGCTCTAAACTTAATCCTCTACATTTTTAAAATATAAAATTCCTAAAAATGGTAGTTCTCTGCTTCAGCCTAATAGTTTGCCATGGTACGTACACGTAGCTATTCTTTGGCTTTTGATTATTATTAATAATTAAAGCCAATGCATAGTTTCATGCATATTCTATAATCCATCATTCTATCTTGTCACAAGTATGCCAGGCAAACTTTGTTGTTTACTTCCTACACAAGTAGAAACAGATCACCAGATTAGCTTTGTACGAGATTGTGAAAAGCTGAGTATCTTACCAACTAACTAATAACTGGTAGTCTAATTATAAATCCCACTACCTGATCCAACAAGCGTAACCCAATAGTTGGCGAAGGGTAATGTTGACTAATTGACTATTCTCTAATCTGTTAGTTGACACTTGTGAAGGGATAACGCAGATAACCCTTGTGAGACATATAAAGTAATATCTTTTTGTGACCAGGGTCTTGTTTAACGAAATTCAGTCAATTGTAGCAGTGCACATACAGAGGGGTATTTACTTTTGCTGTCAAGTGTCATAGAAGAAAACGAGGTTGTTTCCAGTATTCCACTTATAAAAATATTTCAAAACATTAAGCGTTTCCATATAAGGAATTACAGATGACTATTTTTCAAAAAAACAAAAAATTTACGAATTCTTATCAACGTATAATGTACGTATAGAAGTTTGAATTTCGCGCAAAGCTGCACGAGCGCTATCTGCGCTAGCCCTTCCTAATTTAATAGTGAAAGACTAGAGGGAAGGCAGCTAGTCATCACCACCCACCGCCAACTTTTACCAACGAATAGTGGGTTTGACCGTCACATTATAACGCCCCCATAGCTAACGCCCTAACCACCTGGCCATGCCCGGCTAACATGATGGAAATACAATAGATATATCATATAAATATATATACTAACGATTAATATTTAAGACAAAATTTACATTTTGATAATAATTTTGCTGCTCTTTATCGCATAAAATGATACACACACAAAATGTTTTTAGAGCACTGTTGACTTTTACTTGGGAGATTAGCGTTCGTTGCTTCGGAGCCGTGGGTGCGTCATAAAGGTGACGGTCAAATCTCACTAGTCACTCAGACTAGATTAGCCTGGTAGTTGGTGATGGATGTTGTTGGCTAGCAGCCTTCCTTCCTAATAATTCAAATATAGGCATGGTTAGCGCAGAAATCCTTGGGGTGACTTTTCCCGAATATCGGATAAAAAACAACCATTTTTTATGTTTGATTATTTTTAATGATTTTTCTGTCAGTGGAGACATGCACTAACAACCAGTAATGTTTTGGGACAAAGTGGAGGAGGGCGTTTTGGGTTCGCTCGTGTACTCTTTTAAAGTTTTGTTTTCTTGTTATCATTTTTAAGAAAAGAAATATGAGCGGCAAAAGTTGCAGAATTTTGCCAAAATAACATTCCCTTCACAATAATATTAAAAAAAATTGATCGTGTAAGGCTAAGTTTCCTCCTAACTAACGAGTCTAATCAACTAATAAAGTTAGGATTTTTAAATTTCACGTGTTATACACATGTAGTTTCATTCTTTTGACATCAAAGGAAATATTAAAAGAATGTGCTCTAAAACTAATACAAAGGTTAACGACAACGATAATTACTACAAGAAATTCAATAATGCTATTAGTAGGAAGTCAACCAAAATGTAATCAATAAAATATGATGACATCGCTAGTGGATGTAAGTATTCCGAGCACCTCATAGTTTTATCACTTTTAAATAAATAATTCGCAAACATGTTCGCCCTTTCAGCCGTGGGAGCGTTATATGTTTCGGTCAATCCCACTATTCGTTGGTAAAAGAGTAGCCCAAGAGTTGGCGATGGGTGGTGATGTCTAATTGCCTTCTTACGCTACTAAATTAGGGGCAGCTAGTGCAGATAGCCATCGTGTAGCTTTGCGAGAAATTCAAAACAAACAAGTAATTCAATCCAGATTAAATTAAATACAAGTTAGTTATCGAAACATAAAATGTTTGGAACAGTCCCTAAGAAACTTCACTAAATGTACATCTCTTTAGCTAATTTAATTAACTTGTTTGTTTTTATGTTTTGTTTCAGCACAAAAGTACACAAACTATAGATTATCTACGTCCTTTACCGCGGCAAATCGAACCCTAGATTGTATCATTCTTTGTTCATAAACTTTAAACAAATATTAAACAAAATTCTGATTTTTTTTTAAACCTACTTGTTGGCATATACTTACAATAACATCTTTAAATTAAAGTGAACTAATTATAAATTGATTGAACATTTTATCCTAATCAAAAGTTTTTCATACCTTTTTCGCTTGCTTCGGCATTATGAGTAATCGTTGGCACTAAATTAAAAAGTATAGTAGTTGTCAACACATACATTACGTGAAAACTGTTGATACAAGTAACCATTGTGGATAAATATTTAGTACGTTAGTGTATTTCAGCTGCAGCCTCTCTTCTTCGATCTCAGAAAGTCACTAAAATTGAAACTTATTGAGAGAAAATTTACTGAAAAGTTAATAATTTTGAGCTACTGAACATTTAAAAAATTGAGCACTTCTGTTTTGGCAACGAAGCCTCAACATATTGCGTTGTAAAAACATTAAAAGAACGTAACTCTAGCAATGGTGAAACAGCCAACATGTCGAACTACGTAAAGATGTAATCTGCGGGTTTCTCAACGCTGTCGTAACTTTAACCATTGATTGCTGTCGCTCAGCGCCCTCTGCAACAACAAGCATATTATCCAATATTCTTTTGTGACTGGACTTTTTTATGCGGCTTAACGCTTACTAAGAAAATCAAACAAAGGGACATTCACGGTTTCATGAACCTATCGCTGATTCTATGTATTTCATTCTCATTTTCATCACTTTAAACGCAGCATATTGTAATAGCGTTCATATTATCAGCAAAAATCTATAAAATAAACTAATATATATATTTTTTGCTTAAACAAGAAACTGCTAAACCGATTTCAATCAACCAAAAACATTAATAAATCGTTAGATGAAATACAACATCAATTTACTCAAATAGGTTAATATGTTACATACTGTAGTTGTTATTAATTGTTTATACAAGTGCATTTAAATTTAATAAAGTTTGGTTTTAAGCCTTTGAAATAAATTGATTTTTAAAGTAAATTAAAATATAAACAGCTAGACAAACATATATATATATATATATATATATACATATATTTATATATTGAGAGAAAGAGACTTTAG